AGAGCTAAAGGACTTGAGAGTCTCCCAAAACTAATCAAAAAATCATGACTACCTGGCTTCTCTGCCACACTGACTTAGACCACGAGAACACGGTCACATTCGAGGTGCAGAGGGAAACATGGAAGGCAGCCCCGCCAGCTCAGTGTCACCCCCAGTGCTGTTGAAGGTCCTCACAGTGCAGGAGTGGCTTGACCTTCAACCTTCCTTCCAAGGAAGGCTGTCTCTGAGCCTGGTGAGCCTCGCTGAGAATGTGAGCCTTGCTTTGCATCTCAACCACAAAACCAGAGTTCCAGCTTTCTCTTTCCCAGTGTGATCTTGTACAACCCTTTGCTCCTCAGAGCAAGTCACAGAGACCACCCTGAACTGTGTGTCCCCTGTTGGCAGCTATGACATCTCTGTCACACCTGCATGGTCCTTCATGGCAGACTGCCCCTCCACTGCCCAGCAGGCCGCTGTGCTGACTTGTGTCAAAGGGGTTGGACGTCCACAGGTTCCATCTTTTCTTGCTCATGTGCTTGGCTGCACATCTGCATTCACCCACACACCTCCAGCCCTCCTGGTCTGCTAAGGCAGCCTGTCCCTGGCTTCCAGCCCAACATGGTCAGTGCCAGAGTGGGCTGGAAGAGTGCAGAGCCAGAAAACTGGCAAGAACTCACACGTCCTGAGCTCTGGAGCTCAGCCAGGCTAGCCGATCCCTTCAAGTGCAAACCCTCCCGTAGGCCCCTTCCTTGTTTCTCCTGTTTCTGAAAACAGCCTTGCTTCCTCCTTGGAAGGATACTTTCTTCCTAAATTACATTATTAACTTGCACAAGCCAGATTCACCATGTGCCCCTGTGAGATGGCCCCCACACGGGAACCTGGCAGGTCAGCGGGAAGATTCCTGGAGCCTGCAGTGTGAATGGCTCCCTGCTCACAGTCCAGCTGTGTGTTTTACACACCTGTGCAGAGGGAATACAAGTCGTATATGGCAGATGAACCAGGAGACCTGTGAAATGTTTTGGAAAGAATGCTTTCAGCTAAGACCCAAATCTCTGACGTCTTGGGGAGAGAAGTGCCGTCCTCAGACCTGAATAAAACCATCACTATCTCATTCTAGGGGTACAGCCTGCTTGCTTTCCCCTTCCAGGTATGAACTACCTCACAGACTGTGTCCAACAGCCCAGAAGGTGCTTTATTATTTGAAAGTTGTTGGTGTCCATCTCTAACGTGCTGTCACAACTGAGGGAAAACCTAATAAACCCTCTGTCTTCACTGGCTTTTAGTTAAATGTAAAAGTCACTAATTTGGGTGTCCACACAGCTGGGTGATCCATTATTATTCTCTCACTAGCTGTGCTGTAGACACAGCTTCTGGTGTGGGGGTTTTGGTGATAACGGCTTCCTGGGTTATTTCAGGGACTGGAAGGTGGATTTTGCTGAAAACGCTGACTCTTCCCGTGGGTCTGCAGATGTCCGATGGGTGCCTGGATCAGGATGACATGTCTTGGCATCGTCTTCAGATTTTGTCTGTCTTCTTTGTTGCCTCAACCTTTGGGTCAGATTTCTGCTCAGCTCTGCGTGTAAATGTGCTGATCTTTTTGAGGAACGTTTTGTCCAGAGCTACATAGCAGGCTTGACTCGACGAGACTTGCCTGGTCTCTCCCCTCCCCTTCAAGGCCAAAGACACCAAAATTAGAGCAAGTGAGACAAATTCCTGCTGCAGGCCACTGGAACAGCACCTAGAAATCTCCTGTCATCAATTCTTCCCTCTTTCCTTCCTTACAAAGCCCCCACACATGCCTGCATCCCACAGGAATCTTCCATCTTCTTGGATTGCTGGCTTTCCAAATAATTCTTTTCCCTTGCCCTGTGGGAGGCCAACCTTACAGGTGACTGAGTTACACTCCCCAGCTGGGTGCTGTGGCGCTCAGTCACAGAAATGGGTGTGTCTTTCTACAGCCCCATGGGTGAAGCTATGCTCACCTGTTCCTTTGTAATATAACCCCTTGCCCTGTTTAGGATAGAATCTTCCATGGAAGTGCCTTGTATGTGTCCCCTCCTCTTACTGTGCCCTTGGGTATGGCCTACCCAGGTGTCAGTCAACCTGCTGACAGTGGACATCATGAAGATACTCAGCCCCCTGAAACCTGACCCCTTGCCTCATTTTAATAGCTTCTCCTCAATAAAAAGGGTCAGCGCGTGCTCTCTCTTTCTGCGGACCCTTAAGGTCAGAGGAGCTGTCACAGCGACCCCAAAGAAAAAGGTATTTGTGTCTCTTGTGTGGTTATTTCGTGCAGCCCAGTTAGCCCAGTTTAACTAGAGTGACCCCTGAGCCTTTTAGTTGTGAGAACAGAAACCCGGCATTGCCCCCAACAACTTGTTCTCAAGTCATTGGCCTTTTTGATCAATGAGGAAAGGAACTTGGCTCAGTACCTCTATGATCATCTCACTAGTTTGATGTAGCCTTTCTTTATCTGCCTTCATATGCAATGTAATACAGTATGTTGCATGCCATGGATTTTCTCAATAGAGTATACTCTGCCTGTGCATACAGCGAGTTAAAGCAGAATTCTTCCGTTGGTCCAATCCACTTTCCATTCCACCAGCCATTCCACTAACCATTCCACCAGCCATTCCACCAGCCATTCTACCAGCCATTCCACCAGCTATTCCCCCATACGTTCCATTCCATTTCATCATCCATTCCACCATCCATTTCATCATCCATTCCACCATCCATTCCACCATCCATTTCATCATCCATTCCACCAGCCATTCCATCATCCATTCCACCAGCCATTCCACCAGCTATTCCCTCATATATTCCATTCCATTCCACCAACCATTCCACCAACCATTCCCCCATACATTCCATTATCTATTCCTTCATCTATTCCACCAACCATTCTATCATTCATGCCATCATATTAGCATGTCCTAAGTACCTGACAGTGTGACATGGAATCACAGAGAAAGAGATGGTAGGAGTGGGTGTAGTAAAAGTTTTCATGCTTCAATCAAGTGTCAGTGCTGGGTTGGTGTTGGAGTTCACGATCTAGGGAAAATAGCAGTACTAACTATCACCTTTGGGGGTTACTCATTACTTTGAATGTGCTGTTAGATTTCAGCCTCACAACAGATCATTTTATTCATGAGGAAACTAGCTTATACCAGGCGCACATCTTGATCAACGTCCAGTTGTGGGGGCGTGTTGCCTCTCCCAAGCCCTGTTTGGTCACTACTGCTTCCCATAAAATCATGTTTTTCTGGGTTGGCATTCAAATGGTATCTCCAGAGAAAATCTTAGATGAGTTAAACATCTTTAACTAGTGGCTCCCAACAGGTAATTTCTTGACGCAGGCCTGCAGCGAAGCAGGTCTCTCTCAAAATGAAATTGCCCAGAGACTCTCACATCCACGTTCTTTCCTGCTACTCCCTCTACCTCCTGTATTTTCTCTCCTTGTTAACTACACTTGGAATGACTGTTTTATTCAGGTATTTTCATCTCTGCAGCTGCCATTTCTTCTTCCTAAGCTACCTGGAGTAGCAATCCTTTGGAATTTCAATTTCGACCATGTCTTTAATTTCTCCTTTCATCCTTCCCCCCTTGCCTGGGACTCCACTGTCTTGCAAAGTGTGTACAGCTCACCAGCAATGAAGGCTTTGCCTGCCAGCCTCTCCTGTTCCTCTTCTCTGTGACTACTGTTGGCTTGGTTGGTACCTCTTCCTGGTCTTGCCAGATCTTTCTGTCTTCTCAACATGCAGGGCAGTCCATTTCCTGATTGACCTCCCAGTTGCTAATGGTCTCTCTTAGGGTAAACTCTGTGTAATAACTACCATGAGACTTCAAACTATGAGTCATGTGATGCCCTCTGGAACCTTGCGTCACATCTGCACATAATTCCTTGGGAAGTTCTGCAGATCATCCTGGAACCAATAATTATTAGACCAAGAGTCTTCTCTGCAAGCAAAAAGTCCCAGGGTCTTCTCGTTCATTATTCAGAAATACAACCTTCAGTTTTCCAAAATATGTTGACTGTCTCAATGTGAAATTAATTTAGTTCAGATCAGCACTAATCACTTTTTAATGGAGAAAAGATTTAGAAAGTGCAAGTCAGATCAGCTGGCTGTATTTGATTTTGTCAGCAACCCTCGTGTGTAGAGTTTGAGGGAAGGATGCCAGGTGTCTTCTGACGGGAGCCTTTGTCCAGATTCCCCGTAGTTCTTCAGCATCTAACTTTAGGTCCCCACAGTCTGTGAAATTATCCAAGTTTTTGCTAAATGTGGAACTACATATTCATAAACTGTGTGGCTGGGCTGCTCCTTTTATTCCTGTAGACCTTGGGTGCATTGTGTCTGTCTGCCACCCAGCCACTGAGATCAGTCTAGATCCCCATTCTGCATTCGAGCCATGCAGCACCCCTAGGGGCTCGGCTTGCTCCGACTGCCTCCTCTCAGGCCTGATGACAGTGTTGAAGGGGAGGGAGCATGCGGTTTCCAAGGCTGCTCACACCCGCCACTTCATCCCGTGCCTGGAAGGGGGTCCACTGGAAGGCACCCCGTCCTCCCTGTCCTGGTCTGCAGCATGGGTGGACGGTCTGCCCTCGGGGCTTGGCAGCAGCTCTCTACCGGGGCCTTTTTCCCGGCAACACTGGAGCACACACCTGACTCCAGACTCCTCCACCTGCCACCTTCCTAGCTTCCTGTCTGCTCAGGGACGGCCTATCGATCAAGGCAGTCACTGTCCTTCATTCAGCCTTGGTGTCCACAGCCTCCATGAGAGCACAACTCTCCCCTGTACAAAAAGATGGGGAGCAGGTGGGAATCAGAGTGGCTGTGGAGGACACAAGGGTCAATGGCGTTGAGAACTGTGCCCACTGGGCTGTGCTTCGAGCTAAGTGTGAGCATCCTGGTTCCACAGCCCCCCTTGGCATCCTCCCCTCGTGAAGGCCAGGGGAGGTCTGTGCTGCAGGAAGGTCCCCCGTGTGACTTCTCTGACTTCTCGCTGCTTGTGCTTGACAGGAACCTACTGCCAGCAGCGGGAGGTGGAAGCCATCATGGAGGGTGACGAGGACGACAGAGGCTGCTGCTGCTGCAAGCCCGGCCACTTGCCCCACCTGCTCTCCTGCAACGCCGCCTTCCACCTCCGCTGGCTGGCCTGGGAGGTGACGCGGACGCAGTACATTCTGGAGGGCTACAGCATCATCGACAACAACGCAGCCACCATGCTGCAGGTGTTCGACCTCCGCAGGATCCTCATCCGGTACTACATCAAGGTACCGCTCTGCTTTCCCACACTTGTGCCCAGCGGGTACCGGGCAGGGCACCCCATGGTGGTGGTGGTGGTGGTGGTGGGTGTGAGCAGCTCCCAAGAGCTCTGGGGAGAATTCGCTGGTGCGGTTTGTCCCCTGCTCCGCATCCGAGGTCAGACTGGCTTTGGGCAGGATGGTTCTCGTTTGTTCTCCTGAGGGATCCTGCAGGGGCTGGTGAGCCTGTGGCAGCAGCCTGCCTCAGCCTGGGGTGTGGCACTCATAGGCGCCTGCTTTTCACCAAGCTGCAAGGCGCGCACATGGTGGTGATTATCAATCTAATTGAGTCACAGTGTCATGTGTGACGCTCTGCAGACTGTCCACTGTAGAACTAGAATTGTTTTTAAGCTCCCGATTAAAATTCAAAATAGAGCTGATTGGTCCAGTCAGGACTGGTTCTGATAGCCTTTCCTCCTCACTCCTGTGGAGAACAATAACATCTTTTTTCAATTGCTTAGTGCCCTTTGGGCTGAGTCTCCTGGAGGAGAGCCCTGGGACGAGTGAGGAGGCAGTCTAGCTGGGCTGAGACGTTTTTTGAAGGCACAGGGGTGGGCCAGAGCAGCATGGCGGAGAAATATTGGTCCTGGTCCCCTTCTGGGGGCGGGGGCTGCAGGGACGTGCATGGGGGGAGCCCTGCACAAGCCACAGAGGACACCACAAGTCGATGTGTTCCCAAGGAAGCAGCAGAATCACTACAGACAAAACTCCCCTCACCCCACCCACAGACACTAGGCCAGGTGAGATGAGGGGATACAGACCAAAGAGATACCAGGAGCCCCGAAGTCTCAGCCAACTACAGAGGGCCATGTTCAGAAGTTTGGAACAGCTGCTCTGAGGGGTTCTGGTGTCCACTGCAGAGGCTGCAGTGTACTGGGGACAGAGGTAGCCTTTGGTGTGAGGAAGGCTGGCTGCTCCTCCTTCCCACACGGCCTGTCTGCAGCACCTGCTCCGTGGCAGGGTGTGAGCAGCAGCCCTGCTCCAACTCCCTGGAGTGTGCACAACAGAGTGCAGGACTTCAGATCCAAACCTCCCACAGCACTAAGTGCTGAGTCCGACCTTGGGTCATCCAGGAAGGTCAGGGAGGTGGCTTAGGCAGTTCTGGCCTGGGACTCTGCCATTGTATGGCCAGCTCTCCCCAGGTCCCCCTTAAGAAGGATGCTGCCAGGAGCTTTCCGTGCAGCCTGTCCAGGCCACTTGGGGCACCAGGTGTTGGACTTGGTGGTGGCTCATACGCGTGGGAAGCCTCCCTCTCATACACAGAGGGTGCTGGGCTGGCAGCTCTGCCCCAGGGGTCTTCAGCCACCAGGGTCCCCCTGGCTCCCACCCCCACCTTTTAAGTGTGTACATGTTCTAATGTACCAGTGCAGGGGCTAAAGGGGCCAACTGCCCCTAGACAGGCTTCTGGAAGTTGCCACAGCTGCCCTGCCATGCCCCTTGCCTGTTGACCCAGAAAGGTCTGGAAAGTGTGCTGTGGGCATCCTTGAGCCTGGGCATCCTTGAGCCTGGAGTGAACCTGTGTGTTCATGGAAGAGGATAAGTGGCAACCAGCACCTCTGTTGTCTCCCTCCAGGGGAGCATCCCCTGTGTCCCTCCTTTTGTTCTCGGGAGGCAGCAGGATGGATAGGAAGGGCTCCCAAGGGAAGCACATTCCAGGGCACCCAAGCTCTGTTTCTACCTTGCGGTGCCTGCAGATGACCTTCCCGTGGGCCAGATGTGTGGACTGGCAAACCCCACACCACGGGGCCTGCAGGTCACCACACGTGGGAGACCAGGCCTCCCAGCTGCCCCCGAGGCTGTGGGCTACATGTCTAGTCCTGCCAACGGAGGCTTCCTCCCTCCTTGGATGAACTTGGCATTCACCAACCTCCTCTCCTGACCCTGGGCAGGTGCCCCACCTCTGTGCTTCCTCAGATGACCATTACCATCTGACAGACAAATCCAGGTACGATGCAAACAGAGGGAGCTGAGGAAGCCCCAGACCCTGCCAGGAAATTGGTGGCTTGTGGGGAAACAAGACCCTTGGCTCTCTTATCTAAGAAAAGGAAGTGAAGACCTGCTCCCTCTGGGTGGGAGAGGCACACGGTTCTCACAGGGCACTTCTCAGGAGCTAGGATGGACCCCAGCATCAGGTTCCCCCTGCGGACTCTCATGTTCACCTGGAAGTTCTGACGCTGTGGGCCTGGGGTGGGCCTGGGCCTTGGTTTTGTTGTTTGTCTGTTTGTTTCCTCAGTGGTTTGAACACCTCTAGGCTCAGGAACCAGTGCAGACATATCTGTGCTTAGGTTACACCATCAGCACTCAGCGGGGTGGGGAGGGGTGGACAGATTCCTGGCCTCATGGCTTCCTGCTCATTCATGTAGACACTGCAAGGCCCGGGCCTGGAGGCCACTGCTGGACACAGCTCTGGGGGCCTTGCTGCCCTTCCAGGAGTGGCAGCTCACAATGATACTGGTTGCCAGGAGTGACTGGAGGGGGGCTGCAGAGGCGGGGCACACAGAGAGGCGGCAGCAGCTCTTAGGGAAGGCAGAGCCCAGTTGCATGGCCAGCAGAGTGCTGTCTCCTTAGCTCTGAACTGTTCCAAGGTTTGAGAGCTTGGCCTTGTCCTTTTTATTACCTTCTTGCTGGACAGGCAAATTGAAAAAGGAGAAGATTCTGTAAGTAATTCCTTCACACAAAAGGATTGTTTTATCTTCCAATTACCTGGGTCCTTTCTCCCACCCTCCATGAGTATATTTGAAGTCACTTCCTCCCTGACAACAGGAGGTTTTCCCTGGTGTCCCCTGCGTCCCTCCTGATCTATGAGTGCATGAAACCTTCCTGGTGTCGCGAACCAGCCTCCTGCAAGGGCCCCGCCTGCCTGTTGCCTTGTTTCTGGGCAGCTTCTCACTTGCTGTGCACACTGAGGCGTGAGGCCCAGTGCCCTGGAGGAACATGCTAGAAAGAGCGGCTGAGTGGACCGTGCCCATCTGTGATGATGAACCTGGAGCAGCCCTGGTGTGGCAGACACCCGTGGGCAGGTCCCGAAGGCCCCAGTGCAGCTCAGATGAGGGCTCCTTGACTGCCACCACAGAGGGACTCCACAGAACTTTCTGCAACAGGCTTCCTGCTGGGATGAGGGGGACATGGGCCCCAGGTGCTGTGCTTGGGAGCCCCAGGGAGCCGGGTGGGCTCCGCATCAGCTCTGCAGGGCAGCCAGGCTTGGGCCGGGCTCTGACTTCTGCGGTCCAGGGTCCTCAGGAACCACTCTGACCTCATCCTTGTGGGCTCTCTTAATTCCTCCCTAGAAACATGTGAAAGGCAAACCAGGCAGCAGCCTTCCATCTGCTGTTTACCTAGGGCATGGCTGGGCAGGTGGGGACTAGACCAGACACGTGTCGCAGGGCCACGTGTTCACAGGGGCCAATCTCTTCTCTCCCTTTGTAATTAATGTTCGTTCATGTAGAAGCTGAGCCTGGGGCCTGGGTGCAGGCCTGGGCATCGCTGTAGTCACCCTAGCCACAGAGGATTGCTCTGAGCCCCCAGGAGACGCCTGAAACCACAGACAATACCAGCCCTGGGGTGGGGGCTCAATCCCGGGCACAAAAAAGAAAGAAAGAAAATTTTGTGCATGTTGGACATGGCTCTTCAGCACGCTCAGGTCTGCTGCCCCGTCGAGCCCAGGTTCTGTCACAGTGTTACGTCCTCAGGGCAAGGACTGGCCTTTTTGAAGAATGAATTCCAGAAACCACAAGACAGCTTTTCATAAAACTGTGACTCAAAATAATGAGCCTAAGGGCAGCTCTGTTCCCCACTGGGACTCGCAAGCACAGTGTCCATCCTGGGGACAAGGGCTGCTCGTGAACACATCACAGATGTCCGCTCCTGGGCGTCAGGGTTAAGTGTGCATATGTGTTACAAGCTCCATCCTCTCAACCGTTCATAAGAACTGTGAGGTTGTTCCTTGAACACTGAGGGGCCTGGAAGAAGGGGGGCCTGGAAGAAGGGGGCGTCCTCACAGCCAGCAAGAGCCCAGGCAAAGGATGCCTTCCTTGCTGCCCTCAGAGAGGCAGGGCCGGCTGCCTCTAATCACAGAAACCCCGCTGTGGTCTTCAGTTAGCATTAAGTTCTCACCTTCCCTTTCTTGGGATGTCTGGGAAGAGAACATTCTAGAATGTCTCAGGCGGTTGGTTCTGTGCATTAAACCCAGCAGACACACCAGTGATGCCGTGTGTGGGGATTTCATGGCTTGTATTTACCCAAGTCAACTCACTTTCCAAGATCTAAGGAAGTCTGAGAACATCCTCCTGGCATTAGAATGTCTTGAGAGCCGGGCCCTGTAGAGTACACCTGTGACTCAGGAGGCTGAGGCAGGAGGATCACGATTCAAAGCCAGCCTCAGCAACTTAGGGAGGCCCTGTCTCAAAAAATAGAAAGGTGGTCTGGGGATGTGGCTCAGTGGTAAAGCACCCTGGGTTCAATTCCCAGTACAAAGAAAGAAAAAGAAACAAAAAAGAAAGAGTGGCTTGAGCTCTGGGAACCCCTGTCTCTGCAGAGCATCATATACTACATGGCTGCCTCACCCAAGCTGCCCTCCTGGGTGGAAAACGAGTCCCTGCTCAAGTCTCTGCAGCCCTTTTCGCAGTGGCACCACATCGAGCGGGACCTGGCGACGCTCAACGTGAACGTGGACGACGACTATGTGCCGTGCCTGCAGGGCATCACCAGGGCCAGCTACTGCAATGTGTACCTGGAGTGGATTCAGTACTGCGCCGGGAAGAGAGAACAGGTAGCAGGGCTGGGGCTGGGCTCAGCACACGGCAGGGACCTGGCCGTCATGGTGCCCCTTCTCACACCCCAGGGTAGAAAGCAGAATAGAGGAGAGGGAAAAACATACCTGGTAAATGTTAATGGAACAGTGAAGCCACACTAACTGGGAAATGAATGTATCTTGCCTCTGGCGAAGAGTCTGGAAGGTGTGTGTGTCCCTTTGAGCTATGCTCAGGGGCAGTGCAGCATCAGCCTCTGTGATAGTGTCAGGGTGTTGGAGGGTCCGGGGCCATGCCCCTGGCCCAGGCCCTAGATTTTGAATGAGTGGTGGCAGAGAAGGCAAGAGGCAGACACTGCTTTCTGCAGGTGAGACGAACATGGCGATTCTAGAGCCAGGCTTGGCGTCTGATGGCCAGGCTGTTACGATGCTGTGGCTTCTCTGCTCCTCAGTCTTCTGTGGCACCTCTTCAGCTTCCTCATCAAGGTGGCTTGACTTCAGTGTCCTCGGTGCCCCTATTAAAGCTGATTTAGACCACTCCTGAAACTCAGCTGTGGAGGTAGATTCCTGCCGTTCCCAGGGCCCTCCCTCGGGGCAGGAGAAGGCCCTCTGGGTGGGGTTTGTGGAGAGCTCGGGGTGTCTTCTGTAAGCACTGCCATCTCCCTGACCTGAAGCGCTGCATTGGAAACCTCAGAGTGTCCGATCAAAAGCCCACAACTGAATTCCTTTTCTCTCTGAAAGGAACTTCCCCATTCTTATTTTTTCCGTGTCTGACCACAAGTGAAACTGGTTCAGGAAGCCAAGCTCCTGGGCAGGGTCATGTTGGAGGGGCCTGGGTGACCATGTGGCCACCTAAGGCCCCCTCTGGCTCCACACCTGAGGGACTGCTGTTGCCTCTGGAGCCTGTGTGGAAGCTGAGTTCATACCCTTACTCTTTTTCAGCCTTCAAAGGCCCTAGACAGTGATGAGGACTCTCCTCTGGTGACCCTGTCCTTCGCCCTGTGCATCCTGGGGAGGAGAGCTCTGGGAACCGCAGCACACAACATGGCCATCAGGTACCTGGGGACACAGCTGGGACTTTCTGGACTGGTGCAGACACCCTTGGCTCACATTTGGGCTGATTCTGTAGGTCATTTTCTTTAAACTGAACCTCTTGTTTCTTTCAGCTACTTCTTTCCACAGTAAGTCAGATTGGGCCTGCAAGGAGACATTTTTGGTCACTGTGATCTTTTGGGGCACTGGATTGGGGATATCATTAATACAGACAGTTGAGACCCAGGAATCCTGAGTTATAAGTACCCCGGTGCTGAGAGGGTTCTGTGAGATGGTGCGTGTGACATACTTAGCCTGGGGCCTGGCAGAGGTGATGCTCAGGAGATCTGGTTCCTTTCCTGTGTTTCCTCCCCTCCTCTCCTGGTTCAGGCCCCCGTCCCCTTGTCTCTGCAGGGCTTTGGGAGGTTAGTACCCTCTCCTGTTTTTGATGCTCTCTTTCCACTGGATCCCCCCCACCCTCACCCCCAGGGGTAGAAATAGCCCAAGAATCTTTGGTTCAAGAATGAAGACACATAAAGCTCCCTCCTGGCCCCTTCCACCCTGTCACTCAGGCAGCACCCTTCACCACACAGGGGTGACCAAGCCCACCGTCTCCATCTCTGCCCTGCTCCTACTGCTGCATCCAAAGGACTGGCCCATTCCATCTGTCACCAGCACATTGCCCAGATCAGGGACGTGGCCCTGGCTCCTTCTTTGGTATTCAGCTTGTGGCCCCCAGTCTGAGCCCCACTGCCTGCTGGAATTGCCTTCATTGGTGGCTGTCACCCCTAGACACACACAGAAGTTTCCAGAGGGGTCTTGTGTATCCTGGTGTCCAGGCCCTGCCTTAGACTGGTTGACTCTGGCAGAAGCTCTGGCTGGAGCCACACATCAGTGTTTTCAAGCCCCCTGTGATTTCAAGATGCAGCCAAGGTTAAGGACCACACAGTGCTGGGGCAGTTAGAAAAGAAAGGGGTCTTCCTTTTGCCCTCCCGCTCTGGTCCCCCCATACACTTGGTATTTCTGTATTACACTGTGAAATGGTGCTCTGCAAAAGGGCTGTTTTGATATTTCACTGAGTGATTGTTATTAGGTTGATGATAAGCTTGTAAAGGCAGAACCCACTTGTCCATCCATCTGACAGCCTCAGCCTGGGTGTCAGGTGGCCGGGTCCAGGAGACTAGCTGTGCTTCCAGGCCCTTCCTGAAGGGGGCACTAGGAGCCATTCATGGAGGCAAGGTGTTTAAGGTGTGTCCACTGAGTGGAGCACAGGTACCAGGTGAAGAACTGTGGGCCTCTCCCCACCTCTCTCTGGAGTCAGTGGCCTGGGGTCACCAACAGGAAGACAAGGACCCCAGTAGCTAGGTTTGTGACATCAGCAGTGCTTTTCCTCACTGCTGAGAGCTGCCAGCTGCCTGTACTCTGGGGAGGGTCCTCTCACCTGGCTCAGCCTCACCCTGAAGCCAGCCATGCCCTCTGTGGCCAGCAGGGACTGCACTGATTGCTGAAAGCAGGACAGTAGGGGTGGCCTGGGGCCAGTTCCTTCTCACACCCTGAGTTAAGGACAGCGTTGGCAAAGGACCAGGTACCTAAGTTTCAGAGTGAGCCTCAGATGTCCACAGCCCTTGGGCAGGTGGTCACCTGAGGCTACCTGAAGTTACCTGAGGCTTTTTGTTGGATTAATTCAAAGTGCTTTATGCATTTCAGGTTTTCCTCCTGAGTGGCAAATCAATGCTGCAAATACTGCCCAAGCTATATTGAACACAGTGTCAGGCTGATTCCATGTGGTTCTCTGTGTCACTGGCCACATGCTCCTGCTTGTCTGGCCTTCTTTCTTTCCCCTGATTAAAAGCCATGCTTATTGTGCTTTTGTGACTCTGTTCTTGTGGGCTTTTCTTTGTTTACAATAGCTTCTCACACTCTGCTATTGCAGTGAGAGGTAAATCCAGGCAGGCTCTCTGTGTCCTCAGGAAGGCCTTACTATCTCCGATTGGCTCCTTTACTGAAAGGCCCTGGGACCCAGCAGCATCTGATCGGACTTGCAGTTATCACCTTGTCCACACCCTGGGCCTGGGGTTCTGTCCACAGGCCCTAAAGAGATGCTTTGGTTGAATGTTGGGGAGCGGTTGGGATGCCCTTGAGGGGAGCCGTGGCCCGCAGCACCCACCTGTCTTCTGCCCAACGCTGTGATTCATGTTTCACATTCCAGGGTTCCCTAAGTTGTTTTGCTTAAAAAAAAGTGGGGGTGGGGGGCTTCCAGAATTGAAAGATTTTAAACTTAAATTTCATAGATGTCTTTAGAGCATTAAAAATGAGGTTTGTATTTCACCCCTCCCTCTTCCTGGCCCCATTCCTCTACTCTACTGGGGAATGTCCCAATATCATTCCCCATTGTCCCAATATTGCCCAGTATTTTTTTTCAGTATTGGGGACAATATTGTCATATTGTGGCATGTGTGAATATGTAACGACACTTCCCACTATTATGTACAACTGTATGCAGCAATAAAAATATGGAAGAAGAAAGAGAAATAGGATTTGAACTCAATTTGGTGTCAGAATCCAGACTCTAAGCCCTATTTTCTTCCTTACTTTATTTTTTATTTTAATTAAATCCTTTTGGCCAAGAGCTGTCTTTCATTCACCTTTTCTTTTCCTCATCCCCAAGTACTTTGTCAGTACCTGGTACATGATAGATATGCCACTAACATTTGTCAAATGGTTGAGTGAATATTGGCCTTCTGATCTCAAAAGGATAGTTTCTGTGACTAGGCTAGGTAGCAAGGGTGGAGAGATTTTGCAGATGAATTAGGATCTTTAATCAGTCAACTGAGTTAATCAAAAAAGAGATCATCTTGGGTGGGTCGACTGCTTGCTTGGACTATTGGCCTCGAAGGAGCAAAGAGCCATACTGTGTGGAGTGGCGTGGTGGGAAAGAACAGTGCCTCTGGGGCCGAGCTTCAGTCCTATGCTACAGGAACCCATCTCTGCCACAGTCAGAGAGAGAAAGGAAGGAAGCCCTTAACTTCAGACAAGATCATAGCTGTGACCGACACCTTGACTTTAGCCTAATAAGACCACAAACAGAGCGTCCAACTGAACCCATGGGCAGACTCCTCACCTGTGAACACTGGGAGCAGTCAATGTATGCTGCTTTAAGCTCCTAAATTCGTCATAATTTATTAGAAACAGTAGAAAATGAGTTCAAGTACAGTGTAGTTGAACATGAGATTTGGGGGTTTTGTTGAATTCTTAGATCTGCACGTTACAATGATTAGAAGCATGAACGGGCTTCGGGAGACAGAAGGCAAAGGGCTAAGGGGGACATGTGTGTAGAAAACCTGCTCATTTCCCCTTGCTCCTAAGCCCTCCTCTGATCCTTGCCTGTTAGGAGTTGAGACCCTCTGTTCCACCATACACGGCATCCATGAACATGAGTCTGCCCAAGGTCCAATTTTGTTTCGTATTTTCCTTTTCTTCCAGATTCCTGCTGCTATTCTACTGCCCACCATTGATGTGTTCTTTAATATTTTGATATGTTTTGTCCATGTAATAATCCTCATAAAACACAGTGTTACTGAGCTAATGTGTGTGTGCCCTTAATTTACATAAGTGCTAGGTGTGATACTTTTCATTCTAACTTATTCTCAAACTTATGATTTCAAGATGTCGTCACAGAGATACAATTAGTTTATGGTGGTTTATTGCCACTATTGCCGAGAGCGCTTCTGTTTCCCTAGTGTTTGGACATCAGGTGGCTTCCACCTCTTCAAACACATCTGCAGGTGCTAGGGTACGTGCCTGGGCATGGTATGATGGGCCATGGGCCAGCACTTGCCTGGGTTGATAAGTACTATTGGGTGGCTCTCTGGGTTGGTGTCTGCACTCCTGCCAACAGTATGTGGGAGTTCTGGCTCCCCATAATCTTACTAGAATTTAGTATCACATGACTTCTAGTTCATCCAATCTGATGAATGCTCAAGTCTTACCTCATTGCTCATTCAGGGCTCCCTTCCTGTGACCTGCCACCTTCCTTTGCCCTCCCTTCCTTCCTCCCTCTCTTCCTTCCTTCCTTCCTTCCTTCCTTCCTTCCTTCCTTCCTTCCTTCTTTCCTTCCCTCCTCCCTTCCATACTTCTTTTCTTCTTTCTCTCCTTTTTATTTCAGGTTTATAAAGGTTTCTTATATATCCTGACTCTTTCTTCTAGGCATTGCAACTATTTTCACCCATGTAATTAATTCTTCATGTTTTTTTAGGGAAGAGTTGGTATTTGTTTTTTATACAATACTTTTATTTTATTTATTGTTTTATGTGGTGCTGAGGATCGAACCTAGGGCCTTGAACGTGCTAAACGAACGCTTTACTGCTGAGCTCTTAATTCTTCATTTTGATGGACCAATTTGCTTTGTGATTTGAGACGTTAGGATCTTTTTTGCAAAGTCTTCCCCAGCCCCTTATCACAATTTTTCCTTTGACATTCAGTTTTTTATTTAATCTGTAATTCATTTTATGTGCGAGAGCATCAGCTTTATCTTTCATTCTGTATCAGATCAGTTTCCCTCAGCACATTCAGGAAGCCGTCTCTTGATCTGCTCATCCCCACTGAGCCGTGGTCCTGCTGTGCCCTATCAGGTGTGGTCAAGCAGGGGTGCCCAGCCGTTTCTGCTGCATTCATCTACTGGCTTCTGTACTAGTGCTGTGCTGATCTTTAAAGAAATCAGTAACTGTGTCCTGTGTGTTAGATTCAGATCCAACAAGAAGTAGAAACCCAGATGGAGGTAGGGCAGGAAGTCAGTGATTAAGAAATGCTTGTGATCTATAGAGCTGGGGAGCAACCAGACCACAGTGCCACCTTGGCCTGTACAGGAGACACCAAAGACAAGCTGGGCTGCCCGAGGCTGTAAGGTGAGTGCGGCAAGGTGCCCGGAGGATGCCAAGGCCAAAGTGGCTTTAGACTTGGGCTGTGTCCTCAGAGACATACTCGCCGTATGAGCTCTGCTCTGCCGGGAGCAGGCACACCCTTG